TACATCCATGTTGTTACAGACACTGACGTGTTGACTACATCCATGTTGTTACAGACACTGACGTGATGACTACATCCATGTTGTTACAGACACCAACGTGTTGACTACATCCATGTTGTTACAGACACTGACGTGTTGACTACATCCATGTTGTTACAGACACTGACGTGATGACTACATCCATGTTGTTACAGACACCGACGTGCTGACTATATCCATGTTGTTACAGACACTGACGTGTGGACTACATCCATGTTGTTACAGACACCAACGTGTTGACTACATCCATGTTGTTACAGACACTGACGTGTTGACTACATCCATGTTGTTACAGACACTGACGTGTTGACTACATCCATGTTGTTTGTTACACAGACACCGACGTGCTGACTGACTACATCCATGTTGTTACAGACACCGACGTGCTGACTACATCCATGTTGTTACAGACACTGACGTGTGGACTACATCCATGTTGTTACAGACACCAACGTGTTGACTACATCCATGTTGTTACAGACACCAACGTGTTGACTACATCCATGTTGTTACAGACACTGACGTGTTGACTACATCCATGTTGTTACAGACACTGACGTGATGACTACATCCATGTTGTTACAGACACTGACTTGATGACTACATCCATGTTGTTACAGACACCAACGTGTTGACTAGATCCATGTTATTTACAGACACCAACGTGTTGACTACACCCATGTTGTTACAGACTGACGTGTGGACTGACCATGTTGTTGACTACATCCATCCATGTTGTTACAGACACCAGACACGTTACAGACACCAACGTGTTGACTACACCCATGTTGTTTACAGACACTGACCTGATGACTACATCCATGTTGTTACAGACACCAACGTGTTGACTACACCCATGTTGTTACAGACACTGACCTGATGACTACATCCATGTTGTTACAGACACCAACGTGTTGACTACATCCATGTTGCTACAGACACTGACGTGTTGACTACATCCATGTTTGTTACAGACACTGACCTGATGACTACATCCATGTTGTTACAGACACTGACGTGTTGACTACATCCATGTTGTTACAGACACTGACGTGTTGACTACATCCATGTTGTTACAGACACTGACCTGATGACTACATCCATGTTGTTACAGACACCAACGTGTTGACTACACCCATGTTGTTACAGACACTGACCTGATGACTACATCCATGTTGTTACAGACACCAACGTGTTGACTACATCCATGTTGTTACAGACACTGACGTGTTGACTACATCCATGTTGTTAGAGACACTGACGTGTTGACTACATCCATGCTGTTAGAGACACTGACGTGTTGACTACATCCATGTTGTTACAGACACTGACGTGTTGACTACATCCATGTTGTTACAGACACTGACCTGATGACTACATCCATGTTGTTAGAGACACTGACGTGTTGACTACATCCATGTTGTTACAGACACTGACGTGTTGACTACATCCATGTTGTTACAGACACTGACGTGTTGACTACATCCATGCTGTTAGAGACACTGACGTGTTGACTACATCCATGTTGTTACAGACACCAACGTGTTGACTACATCCATGTTGTTAGAGACACTGACGTGTTGACTACATCCATGCTGTTAGAGACACTGACGTGTTGACTACATCCATGTTGTTACAGACACTGACCTGATGACTACATCCATGTTGTTACAGACACCAACGTGTTGACTACATCCATGTTGTTACAGACACTGACGTGTTGTCTACATCCATGTTGTTACAGACACTGACGTGATGACTACATCCATGTTGTTACAGACACCGACGTGCTGACTATATCCATGTTGTTACAGACACTGACGTGTGGACTACATCCATGTTGTTACAGACACCAACGTGTTGACTACATCCATGTTGTTACAGACACTGACGTGTTGACTACATCCATGTTGTTACAGACACTGACGTGTTGACTACATCCATGTTGTTACAGACACTGACGTGATGACTACATCCATGTTGTTACAGACACCGACGTGCTGACTATATCCATGTTGTTACAGACACTGACGTGTGGACTACATCCATGTTGTTACAGACACCAACGTGTTGACTACATCCATGTTGTTACAGACACCAACGTGTTGACTACACCCATGTTGTTACAGACACTGACGTGTTGACTACATCCATGTTGTTACAGACACTGACGTGATGACTACATCCATGTTGTTACAGACACCGACCTGATGACTACATCCATGTTGTTACAGACACCAACGTGTTGACTACATCCATGTTGTTACAGACACCAACGTGTTGACTACACCCATGTTGTTACAGACACTGACGTGTTGACTACATCCATGTTGTTACAGACACTGACGTGATGACTACATCCATGTTGTTACAGACACCGACGTGCTGACTATATCCATGTTGTTACAGACACTGACGTGTGGACTACATCCATGTTGTTACAGACACCAACGTGTTGACTACATCCATGTTGTTACAGACACTGACACATCCATGTTGACGTGTTGACTACATCCATGTTGTTAGAGACACCAACGTGTTGACTACATCCATGTTGTTACAGACACCAACGTGTTGACTACATCCATGTTGTTAGAGACACTGACGTGTTGACTACATCCATGTTGTTACAGACACTGACGTGTTGACTACATCCATGCTGTTAGAGACACTGACGTGTTGACTACATCCATGTTGTTACAGACACCAACGTGTTGACTACATCCATGTTGTTACAGACACTGACGTGTTGACTACATCCATGTTGTTACAGACACTGACCTGATGACTACATCCATGTTGTTACAGACACTGACGTGTTGACTACATCCATGTTGTTACAGACACTGACGTGTTGACTACATCCATGTTGTTACAGACACTGACCTGATGACTACATCCATGTTGTTACAGACACCAACGTGTTGACTACATCCATGTTGTTACAGACACTGGCCTGATGACTACATCCATGTTGTTACAGACACCAACGTGTTGACTACATCCATGTTGTTACAGACACTGACGTGTTGACTACATCCATGTTGTTAGAGACACTGACGTGTTGACTACATCCATGCTGTTAGAGACACTGACGTGTTGACTACATCCATGTTGTTACAGACACTGACGTGTTGACTACATCCATGTTGTTACAGACACTGACCTGATGACTACATCCATGTTGTTAGAGACACTGACGTGTTGACTACATCCATGTTGTTACAGACACTGACGTGTTGACTACATCCATGTTGTTAGAGACACTGACGTGTTGACTACATCCATGCTGTTAGAGACACTGACGTGTTGACTACATCCATGTTGTTACAGACACACCAACGTGTTGACTACATCCATGTTGTTACAGACACTGACGTGTTGACTACATCCATGTTGTTACAGACACTGACGTGTTGACTACATCCATGTTGTTACAGACACTGACGTGATGACTACATCCATGTTGTTACAGACACCGACGTGCTGACTATATCCATGTTGTTACAGACACTGACGTGTGGACTACATCCATGTTGTTACAGACACCAACGTGTTGACTACATCCATGTTGTTACAGACACCAACGTGTTGACTACACCCATGTTTTTACAGACACTGACGTGTTGACTACATCCATGTTGTTACAGACACTGACGTGATGACTACATCCATGTTGTTACAGACACCGACGTGCTGACTATATCCAGGTTGTTACAGACACTGACGTGTGGACTACATCCATGTTGTTACAGACACCAACGTGTTGACTACATCCATGTTGTTACAGACACTGACGTGTTGACTACATCCATGTTGTTACAGACACTGACGTGATGACTACATCCATGTTGTTACAGACACCGACGGGCTGACTATGTCCATCCATGTTGTTACAGACACTGACGTGTTGATTACATCCATGTTGTTACAGACACTGACGTGTGATGACTACATCCATGTTGTTACAGACATCAACGTGTTGACTAGATCCATGTTGTTACAGACACCAACGTGTTGACTACACCCATGTTGTTACAGACAATGACCTGATGACTACATCCATATTGTTACAGACACCAACGTGTTGACTACACCCATGTTGTTACAGACACTGACCTGATGACTACATCCATGTTGTTACAGACACCAACGTGTTGACTACACCCATGTTGTTACAGACACTGACCTGATGACTACATCCATGTTGTTACAGACACCAACGTGTTGACTACATCCATGTTGCTACAGACACTGACGTGTTGACTACATCCATGTTGTTAGAGACACTGACGTGTTGACTACATCCATGTTGTTAGAGACACTGACGTGTTGACTACATCCATGTTGTTACAGACACCAACGTGTTGACTACATCCATGTTGTTAGAGACACTGACGTGTTGACTACATCCATGTTGTTACAGACACTGACGTGTTGACTACATCCATGCTGTTAGAGACACTGACGTGTTGACTACATCCATGTTGTTACAGACACCAACGTGTTGACTACATCCATGTTGTTACAGACACTGACGTGTTGACTACATCCATGTTGTTACAGACACTGACGTGTTGACTACATCCATGTTGTTACAGACACCAACGTGTTGACTACATCCATGTTGTTACAGACACTGACGTGTTGACTACATCCATGTTGTTACAGACACTGACGTGTTGACTACATCCATGTTGTTACAGACACTGACGTGTTGACAACATCCATGTTGTTACCGTCACTGACGTGTTAGATACAATAAAGTTAGTAGCCAAGTCGATTTCACCACGAACAATTTTATTGCAAGACGATACCTTGGAACTTGTCGTATGTCCCCTGTAAAAGTACGAATGTTGTACATTTTGTATGATGGTACAGATGTTACTGATTGTTGAAGCCATTTTGAAGTCGTGACTATGCCCACTCCGCAGAAACAAAAGAAGATAGAAACGCATTACTAGATACTCTAAGTTTAGTTTTTTCATGAATATGTAGTTACTTACAAGGTACACACAATGTAAGTGAAAGGTATACAGCGATGAAAGTTTTTGACACGAGTAACAGATCTGCAGTTGATTAAACCGTGAGTAACTTATCACTTAATTTTCATCAGGAAAGTAGTCCGTTATAATCTGACCCTAGGTCATCACCATGGAGTAGCCAATCACGGGCATGGACCTCGATCTCCAAATATGTTTTTTTTTCCCATGGGGTTCTCGCCCACGGTTATATAAGAAACTGGCATATTGATCAACTATTCACGTTAAGTTGATGTACTGAGATTGTACGTTACTGAGGTTATTCAGACTCTACTGTTCTACTGAGATTGTACATTACTGAAGCTGTTACGGATTCTGCTGTTCTACTGAGATTGTACATTACTGAAGCTGTTACGGACTCTGCTGTTCTACTGAGATTGTACATTACTGAAGCTGTTACGGATTCTGCTGTTCTACTGAGATTGTACATTACTGAAGCTGTTACGGATTCTGCTGTTCTACTGAGATTTTACATTACTGAAGCTGTTACGGACTCTGCTGTTCTACTGAAATTGTACATTACTGAAGCTGTTACGGATTCTGCTGTTCTACTGAGATTGTACATTACTCAAGCTGTTACGGACTCTGCTGTTCAATAGCGTTTTGCCGAAACAACGATCATCGGTGACTAACATGGCACCATCACAATCACTGGTGACCAACACGGAACCATCATAGTCGCTGGTGACCGACACGTTGCGGGACAAGGGGACAGTGGTGACTAATGCATCATGGTAGGGGTCGCGTCTCTTTGCCCTACCGAGGTTCGCGTGCACATAACGGGCGTAGCACAACCACTGTTGTCAACATGTGGACGTTACTTTTACCATAGCTCTCATTAGGTTTTGGACTAAAAGAAAGGTGTTTCCCTAGATGATTGTCCTTGTGTCCCCTGGGTTGACAGTGGACCTCAGTGCCAACCAAGACACATAATCCGTTCCTAACATGACAGCATGGAGGTCCTGAGACGACGACCACGGAGTAGAGGCGTTTTCTTGTGTTCTGGTCAAGATAGATTAATTAGAGTCCGTCTTGTGAGACTTCATGTTGCAGACAGTTACACATGACAACATTTATTGTTTCTCACTTATACTGGCAACAGTTTGCTTGTTCTATTTTGTTTGTTTGTTTGTTTGTTTGTTTGTTTGTTTGTTTGTTTGTTTGTTTGTTTGTTTGCTTTGTTTGTTTGCCGGAATATTTCTGAGTGCGGCGTTAGGTGAGAAACAAGCAACGCTTTATAGATCGTGGCTTTGGTGAATTGATTAGCGAAAGCTGGTTGCAAAAAAAGAGTTCTGTGAATGTTCATCCGTCTGCCTGTTAATCATCTTGGAAATGATAGCGGACACCGCACTCTCAAGCCGCAGGTGTTTTCCCGACACCAGACGAAGTTGCACGTGATGCCGGTGTCGACTGAACACGCCGAACACGGGCCACAGGTCACGTGACGTGTCAACGTTCTCAAACACGTGCAGAACATCCATCCTGGCAAGGTCTATCACAACAAGCTCCCGCCGGTCAAAGTTCAACAGGAAGCCATATTTGAGCGTGAAGGTCTCGTTTTTTCTACACTCTTTCACAGGGAAATGACACAAAGGGCGACAGCCGTTGACAGCCCTGACACACACGTGATCTGGGTGATCATAGCATGTAGTCAGTCTTAGTAGCCATGTTTTGCCAGCTACGTCTACAAGACCGCTCGTGTCGGCCGCTTCGGCTAATGAGACGCCAGCTTCGAACACTGGCAAGCCGTACAGATGGACTTTGAGGTTGCAGGTTGCCTCCACCTGCCAGTAGCGCTGACCAAAACCTCGAAGACTGGACGACGCTAGGGCGCCTGGGTAGATCTTCAGTCGTGGGGGACGCTGGCGAGAGGTCTTCAACGGCGACACATATCCGGATGTGGGGTCATGAGACGTCATTCCATCATCGTAACGGAAGACATCTGGTAGTGGAGAATGTCGGCCTCGATACGCTGTTGGGAAATGAAAATGTGAATCTTTAAGCAATATAATTTGGACAAATGCCTAAGATCTGTGTATGATATGATATGAAAGACGTTTACAGAATTATTCATCACTGTTCGATAAGGTATATAACATTGCCGCCAGAACGTTCTGGATTCTATATGGCCCTAAAAGTGGAATCTCATATAATGTCATTTGAGGACCGTGATCCACGGCATCAATTCGAAAGCTGGTTCTTACATGACGTCATCTCTCGCTTGTAATCACTTCCGGTCGAGAAGGGAGATAACCCAGGACTGCTCGGGAAACGGTATGTGTTTTGGGTATTCAACATGAAAGGAGAAGACGGGCGTTTGTCTCTGTCACGTGCCCAGGAAACGTTGTCTCCCCTGCTGCTCGAGTGTTTTGATAACACGACCTTCCCGTCATGCACTGGTTTAGATGAGTTCTGATTGACAAGTCTTCCATCTTCCGCTAGGTGGCAGCACCAGGTGTTGACACAGGCCTCCTCAATCTCCAGGTTTGGGCCTAGGGGAATCACGTGCATTAAAGACAGTGTCAGAAAGATGAGAAAGTACTTGGCGTGCATGTTTCATTACTTCCGATAGTGCTGGTCAAATACATAACAGTATAGTCCTAGGCCAAATGTTAGAAAAGTCCCTATCTTTTAGGATCTCTGAGCAGCAGTAAAAGCGTTATCCAGTAGTTGGTATGACAACTCCCACCCTCCAGAGATTCTTGGCAATGTGGAACTAGACACAGAATGTATCAGGTTGCTGAAAACAAACAAGGATTACCCTGCTGTTGAAACAGTGTCCACATGTTCATAGACCAACTTCATGAGTATTAACTGCATGGTTTAATGGACGGTGACAAGCACTGGTGTTCTACATGATCAGGACATGCAGTATGGGTGATAAGGCCTGGTGTATCATATTATGATGTTGTCTCTACATTTGGCCTAGGAGTAAGTAGCATGTCTGGTCAGGTAATAACACACGTCTTAACAGTTTTACTCCACATATTACCATGGATTTTACCATGAATGTTTCTTTCAGTCTTTTTTTTTGAAACATATTAGTTATCTATCGGTGTGGCGTTTCTTTTGCGGTTGAGTATATGTAATACAAACGCCGCAAACGTTCAGAAGAGGCTCCTATCTATTCTTTCACAACACAAATGCTACTCACTTGTACATGATGGTAGTATCTGAAGCGAGTCGTCTAGTTTCCGGTCCATCTGTGTTCACCTCAAGTTGCAATATGGAAGCCCGTCCTGAAGATTATTATAGCGTGAGTGAAAATGTTGAGCTTCGCGCCACGGTGAGCGAGGGTACATCTGGAAGGGAAATTGTCGGAAATACAGCAACATCAGTATTTACAATACACTACGGGTATATCGAGCTCATGGGATATTGTATTTACAATACACTACGGGTATATCAAACTCAGTGGATACTGTATTTACATTACACTACTGGTATATCAAACTCAGGGGGTACTGTATTCACAATACACTACGGGTATATCGAACCCAGGAGATACTGTATTTACAATACACTATGGGTATATCGAACTAAGGGGTTACTGTATTTACAATACACTATGGGTATATCGAACTAAGGGGATACTGTATTTACATTACACTACGGGTATATCGAACTCAGGGGATACTGTATTTACAATAGACTTTGGGTATATCGAACGCAGGGGATACTGTATTTACAATAGACTACGGGTATGTTGAACTCAGGGATACTGTATCTACAATACACTACGGGTATATCGAACCCAGGGGATACTGTATTTACAATACACTACGGGTATATCGAACCCAGATGATACTGTATTTGCAATGCATTACGGGTATATCGAACTCAGGGGATACTGTATTTACAATACACTACGGGTATATCGAACGCAGGGGATGCTGTATTTACAATACAATATCGAACTCAGGGATACTTTATTTACAATACACTACGGGTATATCGAACTCAGGGGATACTACATTTACAATACACTACGGGTATATCGACCTCAGGGATACTGTACTTTACAATACACTACAGGTATATCGAACTCAGGGGATACTGTATCTACAATACACTTCGGGTATATCGAACCCAGGTGATACTGTATTTACAATACACTACGGGTATGTTGAACTCAGGGATACTGTATTTAAAATGCACTACGGGTATATCGAACTCAGGGGATACTGTATTTACAATACTCTACGGGTATATGTCGAACTCAGGGGATACTGTATTTACAATACACTACTGGTATATCGAACTTAGGGGATAGTGTATTTACGATACACTACGAGTATATTGAACTCAGGGGATACTGTATTTACAATACACTACGGTTATATCGAAGCCAGGGCATACTGTATTTACGATACTCTACGGGTATATCGAATCCATTTGATACTATATTTACGATACACTACGGGTATATCGAACTCAGGGGATACTGTATTTACAATACACTACGGGTATAACGAACGCCAATGACCAACAATTTTCGTGATAAGTTAACATAGTTTGTCACGCGCAGTTTGAGTGCAACATACAAGAGGCCCGGGCTGAAAGCAGTCAGTTATAGGGGTGTTCGTTATAACCGTAGTTTGCTGTGTATAGTGACCAGTGGCATGTATTGCTGTCTACGTTTTGTGTTGTTACTACAATATTGATAGCTGGAGCCCTACATTCATCCACCAACAACTACGTATAAGATTATACATCCTTTCAATTGGCGGGTAAAGAAATGCCACACAGATCCCGAAAAGCTCTTTGCGTACTTGACACAAACTCCGCAAATACGTGTTTAATTCCGATAAGGACGAGCGGCCGTCTTGAACAATACGGCGAATACAATACGACACTATTGGTTTATGTGATCGTGTCAAGTAGCTATCGTTGTGAGCTTTGTGTCAAAACTGACGTAGATAAATCATTCCGAGAATTGCCCGAGCGCCTGCCTTTTGTAAACATTGGGCAAGTCTGTCTATATCATAGATGACACTACATTGAGAAGTAGCTGTTGTGGTGGTAGCATAAGTGGTAATAGCATAAGTGGTAATAGCATAAGTGGTAGTAGTAGAAGTGGTCGTGGTGGCAGCAGTAGTAGTAGTAGTAGTAGTAGTGGGAATGTTGGTAGTAGTAGTAGTAGTAGTAGTAGTAGTAGTAGTAGTAGTAGTAGTAGTAGTATTTATAATAATAATAATAAGTGTTCTTGTATAGCGCACAAATCAAACTGCAAGGCAATTTCTCTAGGCGCTAAAAAGATAGAGTGATCTGAAGAAAGGATTAAAGTTCATAAGCTTGTTTAAAAGGAAAGTTTTCAGTTGGGACTGGAAAGATTCCACGGACGCGGCTTGTCGGATGTGAAGAGGCAGTGAGTTCCAGAAAGGAGCTGTGTAAGAGAACTGTCTATGTCCATATGGACTTTAATCTGACCTTGGGGACATTCAACTGACAATTAGAACTTGATCTTAAAAGCCGTGGTGGGACATATTCACTGAGGAGATCTTTGAGATAGATTGGAGCTTTGTCATGGAGGCACTTGAAAGCGAGAGTGAGGATTTTATATTCTATTCTCTGTTTCGTGGGCAGCCAATGTAAGCAATATCAGCAATGGTGTAATGTGACTGCGCTTGTTGACTCGGCAAATCAGTCGCGCCGCAGAGTTCTGAATCCTCTGGAGCTTGGACAATAGATCTTGGCGGATATTTACAAGAAGACTGCAGCAATAATCCAAACGTGAGAGAACAAGTGAACGAACTAGGTGGTGAGCTGCATCAAATGTCAGAATATCACGAATGGAAGCAATATTTCTGAGATGAAAATAGCATGACTTACAAACAGAGTTTACTTGTGTTTCCATGGATAAATTTGAGTCTAGAAAAACACCAAGGTCTTTCACGGAATCACTGAAAGGAACTTTCTCATTACCCACTACCAACGAAGACACATCCACCTTAGCAGTGCTACTGGGTGATCCACACAGCAAAACCTCGGTCTTACTGTCATTTAATCTCAGCTTCCTTTGTATCATCCATGCTTTGGAGTCAAGGATACAGTCTTCGATTATAGACATATCGGCTGGAAGTGAGTCCGGTTTAGTGGAACGCAACAGCTGGGTGTCATCAGCATATGACTCGTACATCACAACATGATGCCGAATGATATTGCCGAGATTCTTCATATAGAGAAAAGAGAATGGGCCCAAGAACGGAACCTTGTGGCACTCCGTATGTATGCTGATGCATACACGATTTCACGTCTTGAATGACCACAGATTGTGTCCTATTATTGAGGTATGAGACAAACCATCCAAGAGCTGTGCCATGAATACCAAATTCTGTTTTCAGACACTCAGTTAGTTGAACATGGTCAATGGTATCAAAAGCCGCTGATAAATTAAGCAGCGCTAGAACTGTAGTAGTAGTAATGGTGGTGGTGGTGGTGGTGGTGGTGGTGGTAGTAGTAGTAGGAATGGTGGTAGTTGTCTTTGACAGTAATCACCGAAGTCCACTAAATGCGTGCAGTAACGTAAATAGGTACTTCGTGTGCACTGAGATAAACAGCGCCATGTTTACTGAGTGTAGTGGTTTATCCGCAAGTCAGCCTCGTGTTGAGGGCTAAACAAACACTCGCCACTATATCTGTGTACAGACAGCTTGTCAGTCAAGACTTGAAGTCTGTAGCGGAGTACAACCTGGCGTGGTCCTTATCTGCACTCCACACTCAAGAAGGCAAGAATTCAATGCAGGAACTCATTTCGGTTTTAAACCAAATTAAGAGCTTTCGTAATTTCGTTATATACCTCTGATTTTCCAACACAATATCTCCATTGTACCATAACCGTGTATATAGGATCTTTTTAAAATACATCCTGTGTTGAAAAAGGTCTATAATGTGAATATAATTATGCTTCCGAATGACACTACTTAACCAATCACAATCAAATTTTATGAAGTCATGGTAAAATGGTTTATGTCCCATCAGAAATGTTCAAAGAGGAAAGTCGTGGCAGTACGTCTAGGCGTGGTGCACTAGTGTTTGATAGCATGAACCTGTGTACAATCCCGTTACTGATTGGGACCGCACGGCGTGGTCAACTGGACAGAGCAGAAGGTCGGAGGTTTGACCCCTGGCCTTGAAGCACCCTCATGAAGATCTGGAGCTTGGGCGATCTGGAGCTTGGGCGATCTGGAGCAAACAATGTGTCTTGCAAGGGGCGACTGACGAGATCGGGTGGTCAGACTAATGCATCTCATGGTAACAGTCAGCCAATAGGCTTGATTAATATATACCGCCTTCAATACTCACATACAGACAGACAGACAGACAGACAGACAGACACACAGAATGAAAGATATACGTACAGACAGACACAGTCACAGACAGTCAAACATACATACATACAGACAGGTATAAATACATACAGACATGCATACAGAGAGACAGACAGACAGACACATTTACAGAATGAAAGATATACAGACAGACAGACACACTCACAGACAGTCAAGCATACATACGTACAGACAGACAGGTATAAATACAGACAGACATGCATACAGAGAGACAGACACACTGACAGACAGAAAACAGACACACACACAGAGACAGACAGACCACAGACAGACAACAGACAGACACACAGACAGACAACAGACAGACAGACCACAGACAGACACACACACACACACACACACACTTACAGAAAGAAAGATATACATACAGGCAGACACACACACACAGTCAAGCATACATACGTACAGACAGACAGGCATAAATACAGACAGGTATACAGACTACGTTACAGTTGGGGAGTTACAATCACCTTCGCACAGATGACGATTGTTGTAACTCTATGTTAGAGTTGGGGAGTTACAATCACCTTAGCGCTACGATTGTCGTAAGTCTATGTTACAGTTGGGGAGTTACGATCACCTTAGCGTTACGATTGTCGAAAGTCTACGTTACAGTTGGGGAGTTACAATCACCTTCGCGCTACGATTGTTGTAACTCTATGTTAGAGTTGGGGAGTAAGGATCACCTTAGCGCTACGATTGTCGAAAGTCTACGTTACAGTTGGGGAGTTACAATCACCTTCGCGCTACGATTGTTGTAACTCTATGTTAGAGTTGGGGAGTAAGGATCACCTTAGCGCTACGATTGTCGAAAGTCTACGTTACAGTTGGGGAGTTACAATCACCTTCGCGCTACGATTGTCGTAAGTCTATGTTAGAGTTCTGACTGGAGAGTAAGGATCACCTTAGCGCTACGATTGTCGTAAGTCTATGTTACAGTTGGGGAGTTACGATCACCTTCGCGCTACGATTGTCGTAAGTCTATGTTACAGTTGGGGAGTTACGATCACCTTAGCGCTACGATTGTCGTAAGTCTATGTTACAGTTGGGGAGTTACGATCACCTTAGCGTTACGATTGTCGTAAAGTCTATGTTACAGTTGGGGAGTTACGATCACCTTAGCGTTACGATTGTCGTAAGTCTATGTTACAGTTGGGGAGTTACGATCATCTTCGCGCTACGATTGTCGTAAGTCTATGTTACAGTTTGGGAGTTACGATCATCTTCGCGCTACGATTGTCGTAAGTCTATGTTACAGTTGGGGAGTTACGATCACCTTAGCGCTACGATTGTCGTAAGTCTATGTTACAGTTGGGGAGTTACGATCACCTTAGCGCTACGATTGTCGAAAGTCTGTTACAGTTGGGGAGTTACGATCACCTTAGCGCTACGATTGTCGTAAGTCTATGTTACAGTTGGGGAGTTACGATCACCTTAGCGCTACTGTTGTCGTAAGTCTATGTTAAAGCAGGGAGACTATATAAGGGAAAGTGGTCACTGCTCAGAAAGCCCCTTAGGGTATGCCTCGGCTCGTCAAGTGACCAGTGTAACCAATATGGCGGAGGCGTGGTTTTTAAGATTGTTCCCGGTTTATTTTCAACAGCTGATTACATACACTGAGTGTTGTGACAGCTGAAAACCTACATGTAGAAGATAAGTTACGTATTCTGTCACTTCATTTTAAGTCGAATAATTGTTATCATTGTCAGTATTAGTATAGTAGATTTGTAGGAAAGGTTCAAGTCGGCATGTTGTAGCTCTCTGGCTTCAATTCCACAATATCTCACTGGTATAACGTATATATAACTTGACAACCACAATATGTCACTGGTATAACGTAAAACTTGACTACGACATTATGTCAGTGGCATAACTTACACATAACTTGACAACCACAATATGTCAGTGGTATAACTTATAACTTGACAACCACAATATGTCAGCAGTATAACTTATATATAACTTGACAACCACAATATGTCAGTAGTATAACTTATAACTTGACAACCACAATATGTCAGTAGTATAACTTATAACTTGACAACCACAATATGTCAGTAGTATAACTTATATATAACTTGACAACCACAATATGTCAGTAGTATAACTTATATATAACTTGACAACCACAATATGTCAGTAGTATAACTTATATATAACTTGACAACCACAATATGTCAGTAGTATAACTTATATATAACTTGACAACCACAATATGTCAGTAGTATAACTTATATATAACTTGACAACCACAATATGTCAGTAGTATAACTTATATATAACTTGACAACCACAATATGTCAGTAGTATAACTTATATATAACTTGACAACCACAATATGTCAGTATAAGTATAACTTATATATAACCTGACAACCACAATATGTCAGTAGTATAACTTATATATAACTTGACTTCCACAATATGTCACTAGAGTATAACTTATAACTTGACAACCACAATATGTCAGGAGTATAACTTATATATAACTTGACAACCACAATATGTCAGGAGTATAACTTATATATAACTTGACAACCACAATATGTCAGAATAAGTATAACTTATATATAACTTGACAACCACAATATGTCAGTAGTATAACTTATATATAACTCACTGACAACCACAATATGTCAGTGGAAGTATAACTTATATATAACTTGACAACCACAATATGTCAGTAGTATAACTTATATATAACTTGACAACCACAATATGTCAGTAGTATAACTTATATATAACTTGACTACCACAATATGTCAGTAGTATAACTTATATATAACTTGACAACCACAATATGTCAGTAGTATAACTTATAACTTGACAACCACAATATGTCAGTAGTATAACTTATATATAACTTGACTACCACAATATGTCAGTAGTATAACTTATAACTTGACAACCACAATATGTCAGTAGTATAACTTATAACTTGACAACCACAATATGTCAGTAGTATAACTTATAACTTGACTACCACAATATGTCAGTAGTATAACTTATTATAACTTGACAACCACAATATGTCAGTAGTATAACATATATATAACTTGACTACCACAATATGTCAGTAGTATAACTATATAACTTGGACAAACCACAATATGTCAGTAGAATAACATATAACTTGACAAACCACAATATGTCAGTAGTATAACATATTTATAACTTGACCTCCACAATATGTCACCCGGTATAACTTATATAACTTGACAACCACAATAAGTCACTGGTATAACTTATATATAACTTGACCTCCACAATATGTCAGTGGTATAACATATATATAACTTGACAAACCACAATATGTCTGTAATAGAACTTAAATGTAACTTCCTGACCACCCTAATGTAAGTTATACCATTGTAACAGCGTAAATTATCAGTGGTTCTTCTCCCCCGCTCCCCTCCCTTCCCCGGCAGTGGCGGCTCTTTAAATCTGTGACTATCTCAACCCGCGCTAGACTGCTGTGAGGTTATAAGGAGCTACATCCTTCCCACAATGTCACGGATACCAGAGATTACTAAACCTGGTTCACCTAGTCCAGTCATCCATCTTTAATCAATCTTCTCATCAATAGACCTACGGATGAATAATATCAGTTAAACGCTTGCTAACAAATATACAAATACATGTATACACTTTTCCCACATGGGAATAGTTTATTGGTTTGAGTTCCACAAAGTTAGCCACGATAGCTCTTACCGTAAGAACAAACATACTGTTGATCTTTAGCGGGAGTTTAGATACAAGTTTGAACGTCCCATGGCTGAGATCTAGTGCTGAAAGTGTGTGTCTCTACCAAGGAACCGGATCACGCTTGTAGTAGCGGACATCTGGTTGTCTAACACCTGACAGGCTGGTCTACTCATAGCGTCTTCGGTTACGGCCATGTCAGCCTGTCACTTACCTGTGAGTCGTCGCTGTGATGTCGTGGCAAACAGATAGCCCGTGTGGTATGTCGTTCCTGTCTCAGTAACGCCTGGCTAGCCGCTGGCTGGGAAAGACAGTGTTCTGTGTTATTCGATCCCTTTGCTGTCTATCTCCTGATCGGATCTCTATAGATCGATAGCAACCAATCACCTGTATCGATACGTCGGGTGGGCGGGCAGTGGTGGTGGTGGATTATACGAGGGGACCATTGTGTGTGGTGCTCGTCTGTCCTGGGTACTTGTTAGGACGGCAGACAGGTGGTAGGAGGAGAGACAGGGAGATGGTAGGAGGGAGGTAGTGCAGTGGTAGTCTGGTAGTCCTGGGTAACTTGTTAGGACGGCAGTGGTGGTAGGGGAGATAGAGAGATGGTAGGAGGGAGGTAGTGCAGTGAGAGTAGTCCGTCCCAGCACTTGTTGTTAGGAAGGCAGTGGGTGGTAGGGGAGATAGAGGGGGATGGTAGGAGGGAGGTAGTGCAGTAGTAGTCTGTCCTGGGCAACCTGTGTTAGGACGGCAGTGAGTGGTAGGGGAGATAGAGAGATGGGAGTGGAGGCAGTGGTAGTCCCAGTGGTAGTACAGTGGTGGAGGAGACTTGAGAGACGGTGGAGAACAGGATTGTCAGTAGGGTTGAGGCACCTACATGATGGTGGGTATAGAGGAGGTGGAGGTCAGAGTTAGGAAGGTAGAGATGGAGTGGTAAGGTTGAGGTAGGATGGTGGGGGATTTACAGAGCGTGGCAAGAGGCCAAGGAAAGAGGAGTGGATGGCAGGACATCACAGGAGGGTGGCCCCAGGCAGGAGGTAGAACGGCTGAGGGATGGGAGCAGGACAGAGTGGACAGGGGGGATGGAAAAGAGGGAGGCAGCCGGGGGAGAAAGAGACACGGGGATGGTCAGGGGGAGGAGTGGAGGTAGATAAGCATGGAGGTAGGAAAGCCCCAGTAGGAAGTGGTAGGTGGAGTAGAGTGGAGGGGATATGGAGGGGTGGTAGGGGGATAGAATAAAGAGGAATACTTAGAGGTAGGGGCTGTAATAGGCAATGTGTAAAATCAATAACTCGCAGACGGGCACCTAGTTTGACACACGGGACAAAGGCCAAGACCTGACGTCAACCTACTGCCCTGTATTCTGTTCAAGGCAAAACCCGTTTGGAATAACGTAGAATATAAGCAACATATGTATTGCATTAATAGACGAACGGTCTTTATATATGTCAACTGTCATCGATCCAATATACTGGGGACAATCTGCTGTGAAGATCAGCACTGTATACAAACGTCTCACATAGCGCTACATTGAGCACTAAACGCTATATAAGGAGCCTTTATGTCCCATTGAACGCCTGCCCTTGTACCCTATTGTATACACACTCGCACTGAGGGTATGTATCACCGAACACTGACAAGTGTATCTATTAAGGCACAGCCGGTAGACAAAGACAAGATTATTAAACATCATTAATCACACAGACTGTGTTTTGAACCAGTGTTGAAAGGGGTATACACGAGTATATATGTAGAGGTTTGTTGAGGGTATGTAACCAGGACCAGGAGAGGTATACACGAGTATATATGTAGAGGTTTGTTGAGGGTATGTAACCAGGGTCAGGAGAGGTATACACGAGTATATATGTAGAGGTTTGTTGAGGGTATGTAACCAGGGTCAGGAGAGGTATACACGAGTATATATGTAGAGGTTTGTTGAGGGTCACCAGGGCCAGGAGAGGTATACACGAGTATATATGTAGAGGTTTGTTGAGGGTATGTAACCAGGTGTCAGGAGAGGTATATACGAGTATATATGTAGAGGTTTGTTGAGGGTCACATATAGGACAAGTAGAGGTATACACGAGTATATATGTAGAGGTTTGTTGAGGGTATGTAACCAGGTGTCAGGAGAGGTATACACGAGTATATATGTAGAGGTTTGTTGAGGGTATGTAACCAGGACCAGGAGAGGTATACACGAGTATATATGTAGAGGTTTGTTGAGGGTATGTAACCAGGGTCAGGAGAGGTATACACGAGTATATATGTAGAGGTTTGTTGAGGGTCACCAGGGCCAGGAGAGGTATACACGAGTATATATGTAGAGAGTTGTTGAGGGTATGTAACCAGGGTCAGGAGAGGTATACACGAGTATATATGTAGAGAGTTGTTGAGGGTATGTAACCAGGGTCAGGAGAGGTATACACGAGTATATATGTAGAGAGTTGTTGAGGGTATGTAACCAGGGCCAGGAGAGGTATACACGAGTATATATGTAGAGGTTTGTTGAGGGTATGTAACCAGGGCCAGGAGAGGTATACACGAGTATATATGTAGAGGTTTGTTGAGGGTATGTAACCAGGTGTCAGGAGAGGAGAGGTATACACGAGTATATATGTAGAGAGTTGTTGAGGGTATGTAACCAGGGCCAGGAGAGGTATGCACGAGTATATATGTAGAGAGTTCTTGAGGGTATGTAACCAGGTGTCAGGGGAGGTATAGACGAGTATATGTAGAGTCTTGTAACCACCCGAATCTTGTACCCATAGACCTCTGTACCCACCCGAGCCCTGTACCCACACGAGTCCTGTACCCACCCGAGTCCTGTATCCAAAGAGACTTTTACCCACCCGAGTCCTGTACCCACACGAGTCCTGTACCCACACGAGTCTTGTACCCACACGAGTCCTGTACCCAAAGAGACTTTTACCCACCCGAGTCTTGTACCCACACCGAGTCCTGTACCCACACGAGTCCTGTACCCACACGAGTCCTGTACCCACACGAGTCCTGTACCCACACGAGTCCTGTACCATAAGGGACTTTTACCCACCCGAGTCCTGTACCCACACGAGTCCTGTACCCAAAGAGACTTTTACCCACCCGACTCCTGTACCCACCCGAGTCCTGTACCCACCCGAGTCCTGTACCCAAAGAGACTTTTACCCACCCGAGTCCTGTACCTACCCGAGTCCTGTACCCACACGAGTCCTGTACCCACACTTGTCCTGTACCCACCCGAGTCCTGTACCCACCCTGAGCCATGTACCCACACGAGTCCTGTACCCACCCGAGTCTTGTATCCAAAGAGACTTTACCCACTTGTACCTGAGTCCTGTACCCACACGAGTCCCTGTACCCAAAGAGACTTTTACGCACCAGAGTCCTGTACCTACCCGAGTCCTGTACCCACCCGAGTCCTGCACCTACCCGAGTCCTGTACCCACACGAGTCCTGTACCCACACGTGTCCAGTACCCACACGAGTCCTGTACCCAAAGAGACTTTTACCCACCCGAGTCTTGTACCTACCCGAGTCCTGTACCTACACGAGTCCTGTACCTACCCGAGTCCTGTACCTACCCGAGTCCTCTACTCACCCGAGTCCTGTACCCACCCAAGTCCTGTACCTACCCGAATCGTGTACCCACCCAAGTCTTGTACCACCCGATTCCTGTAGATACCCATGTCATGTAACCACCCGAGTCCTGTACCCACCCAGGTCTTGTACCCACCCGAGTCCTGTATCCCACCTGACCCCTACCCACCTGGTCCTGTATCCCTGCTTGCACCCACGAGTCCTGTACACACGAGTCCTGACCCCCTGCTGTACCCAACAGACTTTTACCCACCTGAGTCCTGTACCCACCCAACCCGAGTCCTGTACCACCCGTGTCTTGTACCCACCCTAGTCCTGTGACTTTTACCCACCACGAGTCCTGTACCCACCACTGTACCTACCCGAGTCCTGTGAGCCCTGTACCCAGCCCACCTGCCCGAGTCCTGTCCTGTACCCACCCGAGCCCTGTACCCACCCGAGTCCCGTATCTCACCCGAGTCCTGTACCCACCCAAGTCCTGTACCTACCCGAATCTTGTACCCACCCAAGTCTTGTACCACCCGATTCCTCTAGATACCCATGTCATGTACCCACCCGAGTCCTGTACCCACCCAGGTCTACCCACCCGAGTCTTGTACCCACCAGAGTGCTGTACCCACCCGAGCCCTGCTGTGACCCCGAGTCCTGTACCCCCTCGAGTCTTCTACCCCCCCTAGTCCTGTACCCGACCGAGCCCTGCTGTACCCACCCGAGTCCTGTACCCACCCAAGCCTTGTACCACCCGTGTCTTGTACCCACCCTAGTCCTGTACCCACCCGAGTCCTGTACCCACACGTGTCCTGTACCCACACGTGTCCTGTACCCACCCGAGTCCTGTACCCACCCGAGTCCTGTACCCACATGTGTCCTGTACCCACACGTGTTCTGTACCTACCCGAGTCCTGTACCTACCCGAGTCCTGTACCTACCCGAGTCCTGTACCCACCCGAGTCCTGTACCCACACGTGTCCTGTACCCACACGTGTCCTGTACCCACACGAGTCCTGTACCCACACGTGTCCTGTACCTATCCGAGTCCTGTACCTACCCGAGTCCTGTACCTACCCGAGTCCTGTACCTACCCGAGTCCTGTACCCACCCGAGTCCTGTACCCACCCAAGTGCTGTACCCACAAGTGTCCTGTACCCACACGGGTCCTCTGTCCACTCGAAGTAAATTCCTGACCAGTATCAATATTCATCGATAATCGGTTATGTTTTCCCGACCCCCTGCTTTCTAAAATTAGCAAAATTGTTTCATTTTTGGTTGTTTCGACCCTGAAACAATAATAACCTTCGACAATATCACTAGTTTGAAAATGTCAAGATATGCTGGTAGTATTTAAATTATCGTTTAGACAGTTGAAAAAAAACACTGACATACAGGGGTTCAAAACCCCATCGCCCGATGCCCGGGACAAGTAAGTTTTCATTTCGGGCAATCAAATAATGGAATCTTACTTAACCATGGGCTACTAGATAATTTCTACTTATGGTTTCAAACTGCAAATAAACTTCGATTTAATTTAATATCTGCTCAAAATGTAGCTATTAAATTTCGCAATGATAATAAAGTAGAGTTATCTTTCTTTGCTATTTATCACTTTTCAATAAATAGTCCAGTAAACATTAACATCAAATACCATGTTGATTTCTTCTTTCATAATTACATCATCATAATTATGTCATAAAATCAGGGCAAGTGGAAAATTAGTCAGGACAAGTTACTTTTCTTAAAGTCACTTGCCCTGTGGCAAGTGGCTTTTAAAAAAAGATTGAACCCCTGACATATTGTAAATTCAACAGAAAAATGTTTGCCATTAGTTTGATTGTTGATTGAAGTCACTCTGTCCTCACAAAACATCATTAGAAAGTGGTCTCAAATTATTCCAACTCGTACACCCACGTCCTACTAACCAAATATCATTAAACCTATTCGTGTTCAACCATGTCTGATTGTGTAGCCCCTGTTAACGCTGTTACAGAAATCATTCGGCTATAAAAATGGGTCTTCCATGCACGGATACCAGTTTTAGCGGTCTTCGTTGTCGTCGGATATTAGAGTTGTCTAACCTTTCTTCCGGTTAAATGTTGATGAAGTTTAAGGCACATTATCATTATCTGTGACATTTTCCCGATTGTCTGGCCTGTTAAAGAATGAACCCGGCGGCGGAAGCTCAAGTTGTGGAGGATGTACAGGGAGACGGACGCTGGATGAGCTTGGTACGTGATGCACGTGAGAATCGCGAGCTAGAAGCGACAGGAAATGACTGTGGCAGTGTCGACCGCGACACGAGCAGGATGACAGGTGCCCGTCCCACCGGCTTTACCGGAGGATGAATTAATTATTGCTGATGTTTTCATTGCCAAAACATATTCCACAGAAGTAAAATTATGTATAGCAAATATTTAAGATAAAATAACTATTTCTAAACAATAATTTCAGACATTAAATTAAACCAGGTTCAACTCGTCCCATGTGAAGTACAACTAGTTAAACATCTCAACCACCTCTTGTGCATGTCGGAAGGAGTAAGTCTCGCAGGGCAAACAGAACAAATATGCTTTTATCATGTGATTGGGATCTTCAGACGAAACTGTGTCCCTCACAACCACCAGTGGCATCATGGACAAGACATTTCCCCTGAGTGTGCTGTTCACAGCGGGGCTTGGTTTTACTGTATGACATCAGTTTAAAGACATGCTGTGTTACTGTGTAAAGAATGTGTGGTTCACAACGGGGCTTGGTTTTACTGTATGACATCAGTTTAAAGACATGCTGTGTTACTGTGTTAAGTATGTGTGGTTCACAGCAGGGTTTGGTTTTACTGTATGACATCAGTTTAAAGACATGCTGTGTTACTGTGTAAAGTATGTGCTGTTCACAGCAGGGTTTGGTTTTACTGTATGACATCAGTTTAAAGACATACAGTGTTCCTGTGTAAAGAATGTGTGGTTCACAGCGGGGCTTGGTTTTACTGTATGACATCAGTTTAAAGACATGCTGTGTTACTGTGTAAAGTATGTGCTGTTCACAGCAGGGTTTGGTTTTACTGTATGACATCAGTTTAAAGACATGCAGTGTTACTGAGTAAAAGTATGTGTGGTTCACAGCGGGGCTTGGTTTTACTGTATGACATCAGTTTAAAGACATACAGTGTTCCTGTGTAAAGAATGTGTGGTTCACAGCAGGGCTTGTTTTACTGTATGACATCAGTTTAAAGACATGCTGTGTTCCTGTGTTAAGTATGTGTGGTTCACAGCAGGGCTTGGTTTTACTGTATGACATCAGTTTAAAGACATACAGTGTTCCTGTGTTAAGTATGTGTGGTTCACAGCAGGGCTTGGTTTTACTGTATGACATCAGTTTAAAGACATACAGTGTTCCTGTGTTAAGTATGTGTGGTTCACAGCAGGGCTTGGTTTTACTGTATGACATCAGTTTAAAGACATGATGTGCTTCTGTGTTGCAGCACAAGCGCTTCCTGCTTGAGGCCAAGGAGAGAGAGCCGGAGGTCGTGTTTATCGGAGACTCGCTGATCGCACAACTGCAACACATGCCAGTAAGTAGGCACTCAGTGATGTCGCCCTTGGCGTTGGTCAGTTTGTTAGGGTTATCTAACAAACAAAGTAGTTATCTAACAAACAAAGTAGTTATCTAACAAACAAAGTAGTTATCTAACAAACAAAGTAGTTATCTAACAAACAAAGTAGTTATCATTGTATATCGGCAATGTTCCATCCAATCACATCAGCCTGTAAATGGTTGATTCCAGGGCGTTGAAGTGATTGATGCTGGACACTAATTGTTTAGAAAGGTTTGATTTTATTCTTCATTGTGAATCATGATCACGCAATAAGTTTACAAAATCTGCATTGTTTGCAGAAATTTGGAGTTGAGCACTTCAAGATGAAGATGTTTTGAAAATTTGAACAGGAAATTAATGTTCCGAAATACCATTTACAGTTAATCTGATTTTTGTTTGATTCAATTTTTCTTCTTATCCTGACTCATCTTGCTGCTTCTCTCCCCTTTCTGCTCGAGGTGTAGTGGAAACCTCTGTTTCTGTGTTCCCAAGAACAGTAAAAAAACCTCTCCACATTTTCGCCCAACAGGACAATTCCTCTGTTCAACAATCCACACTAATCCTCTTTTATAATGAGTCATCAATCAAAATCCATCAGAGACAGATCATAGGGTTAATCTGATTCTATGAAAGGTTGACAGTCACTGTAGCCAGATACGTCTGTGATGTCACATGCATGTCGCTTGTGTCTGATGTGTGTCTGTTGTCTCTGATGAATGCCTGATGTTGACTTTCAGATTTGGCAGCAGATGTTTGAACCTCTCCACTGTCTCAACTTCGGTGTCGGCGCCGCCGACCAAACCCAGCACGTGTTGTGGCGCGTGCACAATGGAGAACTGGACAACATGGAACCCAAGGTGGGTCCGCCACCAGCATTCTCGGTCTCCTTCCCCGTTCTGTCAACCATTCAATGTCCTCTCATTCCTGTCCTCTTCTCCAGTAAATGTTCTCTCATTCCTGTCCTCTTGTCCAGTAAATGTCCTCCCATTCCTGTCCTCTTGTTCAGTAAATGTCCTCTCATTCCTGTCCTCTTGTCCGGTAAATGTCCTCTCATTCCAGTTCTCTTGTCCAGTAAATGTCCTCCCATTCCTGTCTTCTTCTCCAGTAAATGTCCTCTCATTCCTGTCCTCTTCTCCAGTAAATGTCCTCCCATTCCTGTCCTCTTCTCCAGTAAATGTCCTCTCATTCCTGTCCTCTTCTCCAGTAAATGTTCTCTCATTCATGTCCTCTTCTCCAGTAAATGTTCTCTCATTCCTGTCTTCTTCTCCAGTAAATGTCCTCTCATTCCTGTCCTCTTCTCCAGTAAATGTCCTCTCATTCCTGTCCTCTTCTCCAGTAAATGTCCTCCCATTCCTGTCCTCTTCTCCAGTAAATGTTCTCTCATTCCTGTCCTCTTGTCCAGTAAATGTCCTCTCATTCCTGTCCTCTTGTCCAGTAAATGTCCTCCCATTCCTGTCCTCTTGTCCAGTATATGTCCTCCCATTCCTGTCCTCTCGTCCAGTATATGTCCTCCCATTCCTGTCCTCTTGTCCAGTATATGTCAGGTGTGTTGAACCGTGTTTCAGGTGTGTTGAACCGTGTTTCAGGTGTGTTGAACCATGTTTCAGGTGTGTTGAACAATGTTTCAGGTGTGTTGAACCATGTTTCAGGTGTGTTGAACCATGTTTCATGTGTGTTGAACAATGTTTTAGGTGTGGTGAACCATGTTTCAGGTGTGTTGAACCTTGTTTTATGTGTGTTGAACCATGTTTCAGGTGTGTTGAACTATGTTTTAGGTGTGGTGATCCGTGTTTCAGGTGGTGGTGATGCTTGTTGGCACCAACAACCACGGCCATACTGGAGAGCAGGTGGTCGGTGGCATCCTGGAGATTGTGTCCGCCATACAGGCCAAGCAGCCACAGTGTCAAGTCGTCGTCATGGTCAGTTGGTTACAAGGATACATTAAAACATACCGTCATGCATTCTCTTCCCACAGAGGTTACTCCTATCATATCTTCCTACGTAACCTCTGTTCTAATACGGCCCTTTCATGGTGTGAGTGTTCAAGACTCGTGATTGGAGGCAATCAGATTTAGTTGTGCAGTCAGCGACGTTGTTTCAAAAGTGATCATTCGCAAGGCCTCGGTAATTTCCGTATACTTCGAGAAAACTAAACTTCTTCCCCTGTGCGATGCGCAAACGTTTCTTCTAGACAGAATTCAGTCATGTTATGACAGATCAGTGGCGTCTCCATCGCCCTCGTTGACAACGGACAAGCTAGCCATTAAACGTCTTGTGTGTAACATCAACACCCCGGCAGATGGGGGATATTTGTGGCCCCACATTTGCTTGTGTTAGTCAAGTTGAATCTAAGTCGATGTAACACGTGATCTGATTGGATGGAAAGAAGGGAGATAATTCGTGTTGCGATCTTTTGCTGCTAGGGGATTTTACGAGAACCGGGAAATATGACCGTATTAGAACAGAGGTTCGTAGGAAGATATGACAAGTAACCTCTGTGGGAAGAGAATGACTGTCATGCTTCTGTTGGCATATAAACAACGGTTTGTTGCATTCCTCAATTCCCATTTCCTCACATTTCATTTTCTTCCTATCAACTAAATATTTTGACCAAATAGAATTTTTTTGCTTGAACTTTGTGTGATATAAATATTTTCAAACAACTGATCTGAAGTTTAGGGCTAAAATGCTAATGACGACTTGGTTTTATCTAGGGCATTCCCCCTCGTGGAGAGAACCCGAACATACTCCGGGAGAAGATCCTGCAGATCAACACAAGCCTCGCAGAGCAGCTGAAGGATAAAGGGAACGTGACCTTCCTCAACATCGACGCCAGCTGGTTCGTCAGTGCTGACGGCAAGATAACACACCACGATATGCACGACTATCTTCACATGACCAGACGGGGATATCAGAAGATCTGTGAACCACTTCTGGAAGAGATTCAGAACCTTTTGCAGACATTTGTGAAAGTGGAGAGCACATCCGTGGAGACGGTGTCTATGGCTGGAGAGTTGGCTGGGGACAAGGCCTAGTTACTCTTTCATGGCTCACAGTTCCTGAGTGGCTGTTCCTTCAGATTTGGTTCTTGAAGATGATGGTTCTGGGAGCCTTGGTTCTAGATCTTGTTCCTGAAGATAATGGTCATTAGGGTTTTGGTTCCTAATGGGTTTATGAGTCTACATTTCTTGAGTCATGGTTCTGGGGAGTTGGTTCCTGGAGATGCTGCTCTTGAAATCTTGCTTCCAGTCATGATTACGGGAGGACATGGTTCCTACAGTTTGGGTTCTCAGACTTACGATTCCAGGAGCTGCTGTTCTTGCAGTCATGGTTCCCAGATTCTGTATTTCCAGAATCAAAGTTCCAGGAATCAGAACTCCAGGAATCAAAGTTCCAGGAATCAGAGTTCCAGGAATCAGAGTTCCAGGAATCAGAGTTTCCAGAGTCACTGTCTTAAGTAACATGGGTCCAGGAGTTTCTTCGGAGGAGGAGGGTTTCAGAATCATAGTTCTCAGAACCACGGCTCCCTGAACCAACATGGCTCCAGGACCCGTTCTCTGCTGCACTGTTAATGCTCTGTGTTCAAATGCATATGTGTTCCATGCAAGCGTGTTCAGTTGTATGTCTTAGAGAAGCTTTGAATGTGTCGAGCTCTGTATCTGTTCAAAGTTATTCACAGATGGGAGACTACATGTGGAATGTGTCCATCAGACAGGTGTTATACGCTGATAAAACCAAGGGGCCCTTACCAACTGCTACTCCAGTGATCTCGGTTAAGATTTCAAGGTGGTCGCCCTGGTAACTATAATAACTGTGAGGATCCCAAGACTCACCTTCATTTCGAACACTGACGTCGACAATATATAGTGCTACATTGTTCAATATGTTTTAACATTCTTCTTTCCTTATACTATGAGTATCACAGTATTTTTGTTCTCTACATTTTGAGTATGTCGCTCTTAGTGCGATATGTGGTGCAATACTTTGAGTATGCCGTTCCTAGTATGATATGTCCTACACTTTGAGTATGTCGTTCCTAGTATGATATGTCCTACACTTTGAGTATGCCGTTCCTAGTATGATATGTCCTACACTTTGAGTATGTCGTACCTAGTACGATATGTCCTACACTTTGAGTATGTCGTTCCTAGTACGATATGCCCTACACTTTGAGTATGCCGTTCCTAGTATGATATATCCTACACTTTGAGTATGCCGTTCCTAGTATATGTCCTACACTTTGAGTATGTCGTTCCTAGTATGATATGTCCTACACTTTGAGTATGTCGTTCCTAGTACGATATGTCCTACACTTTGAGTATGTCGTTCCTAGTACGATATGCCCTACACTTTGAGTATGCCGTTCCTAGTATGATATGTCCTACACTTTGAGTATGCCGTTCCTAGTATATGTCCTACACTTTGAGTATGTCGTTCCAAGTACGATATGTCCTACACTTTGAGTATGCCGTTCCTAGTATGATATGTCCTACACTTTGAGTATGCTGTTCCTAGTATGATATGTCCTACACTTTGAGTATGCTGTTCCTAGTATGATATGTCCTACACTTTGAGTATGCTGTTCCTAGTACGATATGTCCTACACTTTGAGTATGCTGTTCCTAGTATGATATGTCCTACACTTTGAGTATGCTGTTCATAGTACGATATGTCCTACACTTTGAGTATGCCGTTCCTAGTACGATATGTCCTACACTTTGAGTATGCCGTTCCTAGTACCATATGTGGTGCAATACTTATTCCCTGATACCAGTTCACATGGATCACTGGATCACTAATTTGGGGTTGTTTAAAACCATCTGGATAGTTTAGAACCATCTGGATAGTTTAGAACCCTCTGGATAGTTTAGAACCATCTGGATAGTTTAGAACCGTCTGGATAGTTCCTTCATAATTAATTAATCTGTTCTAGCGTGGTGTATCTCAACCTGCTCACAGGCACGTTGAGTCAGTTGTTACTCAAACCAAGTGTGCTGGGAGTCTGATATCCTGTTAAATGGTGATACACAATTAACTGGTAATTCTTTTCCAGTCAACCACAAAACAGTTGCAAGTATGACATGAGCAACATATAAAACTCTAACTTGGATAAGGATCACAAAAATTCACAACTTTACTTATGCGTAGATTAATGATTTGAAATTGTATCCATTTACAACTGGATAAATAATAATATTGTAACCCCTCATTAGGCAAATAGCCACTTTAATCTAACCTTATGCACTTGATACATGAGTAATCGGAAAAATGGTTTTCATGGCACCAATCAACCATTTTGGAATGAGTCATTTACAAGTACACAACACCTGTCAATAGCAGGTATGGGATCCACAAGATTAAATGACATACTGAAACCTAGGATCCATACTTACAATAAGCTTACATATTTAAACCAAATTTGACCCACATCATAGTTTTCTGTTGAATCCATGATTTGATCCTTAGCAAAGTGTGAATAGTCAAATTTGTGATGTAAAATACAACAAGATAGTTTTATTTTGTGAAACATTTAAAGACAATAATCCAATGGTAATATCCTAGGTGGTAATTTGAAGCAGTATATTCGGATAATTGAGAATCTCATGCTTCAGTGTCTAAGCTGCCTATAAAGTTGCTCATATTTTTGTACTGCACATAATATTTTTGAGGATTTGATGGTAGTGCAGGCGTAATACGCACACCTAAAATTAGTGAATGAGGTGAAATGTGCATAGTAGAAATCCGTCTGGTAGAGCTTTCATTACACATAGCCTACAGGTGAAAAAACAAGGTGAGTTTAATCCTTAAAACTCTGTTGCCAGCATTGGACCAATCACTATGCAGACCAAGGTGAAGGTCGTAAGTAAATCAGTTTGTGCAGTACTCAAGGTTATCCAGTATTTGTCAGTGTAATAATATGCTGTTTTGTGTTATGGGCAAATGAAGACACAGTAAGAAGAGATGTTATTGTCACAGGTACTTTTGTCCTGTGGAATATTGCCTAAAGCTACAAATCTAATTATGATGTAATTGTAATATCATCATGGCGTATAGTGCACCATCTATCGTCGACGTCCTGAAACAAAACATCTAATTTATCTCAGTTTTGACGTTTTTGTTCATTATGCAAACAAGCTGGAGAGTGTGTTTTTTCAATTTGTCACGGTAAAAATTTGATTGATTTACTAAAGATATGTATTTGAAATGGCATTTGAAAATGTATAATATCCAATTCATCATATTTCAATCAGGATTATCAATGTTTTGTATTTAAAGACAGATGAAAGCTAGACATTAATTGAGTCTGTCATTATCTGAGAAGTGTATTTCTGTTTTACCTTTGTTCCAAGCTAGAAGCGTTGGCCAGTTGGCTTGATGCATTTCCAGTCTTGTTATCCTTTGTTATCCTAACAGGTTTAAGATTCTGCACATTCTGGAGATGCTAGATTTGATAATTATGTACAATGTTTCTGCTTCATGGCTAACCCTGACTGTAATCCTGTAAATATGTCGTATCGTTGATGTATTTGTGACGTATTCACACGCATGTTGAGCAGTGTGGAGTAAGTGCAGCAATTCTCCCGATTTTCTTCTTGACATTGGATGGGCACGGGTTGGTCAGAGGGTGCTCTAATCTACAGTGCAGGGTTGCCTCCCTTGAGCACGCCAGAAACCAGTTCTTGTGGGTCCAAGTTTCAATTCGCCTTGACTGTGTCACAAAGTTTGTCAGCAGGATGACACTGTAGGTTTCACCAAAGCAATAACGCTTGATGAATCTTACTGTGTTGTAGTGGCTGTTCATCTAAAACTGCTGTTCAACACTCTGAAAAGGCAAATGGCCGTCCTCTGATCTTTGATCTATTTGGGGGCAGTTTTTGAGTTAGAATGAGCACTAAAACTACATATCAGTGACAGTGCTAACAGGAGGTGGAGTATCGTGGTGTGAGCAGTGAAGTGTTGATCTTTATATCTACGGCAGTGGTAGTACACTTGTACTTGCTTTGTTTCTATGTAAAGGGTCTGCTTCGACTGCTATTCACAACTTATTGTTACATACACTTACCGCAATATGTTCAACAACTCCGGGCACAAGAAATTTAATATACCGTAAATTACCGTCTATAACCCGAATTTTGAGGACCAAAAAAAGCAGTCTGTAGAAGGGGTTCGTCTTATCCATGGGTTACGCTTTCGTCAAACTTTTTTCCAGGGGTAAGAAAGGCATGTAATTAGTGGCTGCTCAGATAGTCTACAGGGTAGAAGCGTTCACTCATCACGCCAAAGACTGGGTTTGATTCCCCAAATGGGTATAAGGTGTGAAGCCAGTTTCTGGTGTCCCCTGCCATGATATTGCTGAAATATTGCTAAAAGCGGCGTAAAACTAAATCACTAGGATTTCTACAGCTGTCACCATAGCAACAGAGCTGAATTTTCCTCTTTTTAAAAGCATGACTATCATGGTCGTCAACAACCCATTCCAGTTGTAAGAGGGTGCTCATGCTTGCTGACTTGGTTGACACATGTCGTCATACCTCAGCTGCTCATGCTGTTGATCACTGGATTGTCTGGTCCAGACTCGATTATTGACATATATCTGAGTTCATCTTTTAACAACAAACGCACACCTTCTGTCGGCTGTGTAATGGTCGGTTAGTGTGATCTGCCCTGCCAGGGCGGGGGCTGGTGCTGGAATGTGTGGGTCGTCCCCTTCCTTCCTGTAACAAGCCTGGAGGCATTGTGGAGAATGCAGTTGGGAGCACGATTAAGTGGCTGTATTTATTCTGTAGTCCAGTGATATAATAGTAATAAAAATAATATGGGTATTTATATAGCGCTACATCCAGGTACTAATCCCCCCTCATGGCGCTACACTACTATAGGAGAAACATAGTTCAAACTATATACAGCAGGCAGAGGGACACAACTAAACACACGAAGGCTAATAACAGGTAGAACAGAACAAGTTGTTTTGTAGAAAAGATTAAATGAGTCCAAAGATTCAGATTCTTGATGTGAGTGGGTAGGTTGTTCCAGAGACTGCGTGTTGGAACTCTCAGTGGGGCGGTGGGGTAGCTTAATGGTTAAAGCGTTGGCTTGTCACGCCGAAGACCTGGGTTCGAATCCCCACATGGGCACAATGTGTGAAGCCCATTTCTGGTGTGCCCTGCCGTGATGTTGCTGGATTATTGCTAAAAGCGGCGTAAAACCAAATTCAGTCAGTCAGTCAGTGAGTTAAGTTGGGTCAGCTATTGCTGATTGTACCGGTACCTGCAGGAGCAAGATCTTCAATGACAGTGAAGTATCCTCGGTTCCAGTTCCCAGGTTCTGTGGAATATACTTCTCATATGGATAGTGAGATATGTTCAACTGGAAATAATAATTTCTTCGTATATTTCTGTTTGTGTAGTTTTAAATGAATCTGAACATGTTTCGAAACCATGACAGTGTTGAATTCTACTTGCATGACAACATCCCCAAGAAATCCATCTAATTCAGTCCGAGGCTAGAGACTATCAATGCCCCTGTCAGAAGTTGAATAGCTTATATTGACCACAAGTTGAGTCGTTCTTGTAAGGTTTGAATTACAGCTTTTGAATACGATGACACCAACGATGAAAAACAAAATGATCAAGTCATCCTTACTGTTGGTGGCGAAATCCTGCACCTGGATATTTAGAATATATATATATCAGAGCTCCAGATAAGAATTAGGTCATGTGGATACTGTACCCACTGTATTTTTGGGGAGTGGGTATTATGAATGTTGAGTGGGTATTTCATTTTCATTTTTGAATCAATGTGGATTTGTCCTTGATGTGGTCAAGTCTACCAGTTTGTTTGTGTTGGACCACTTAGCATTGACTGAAACTTACAGACACCAT